CATGGTTCACATTTACAATCATCATACATCACATACCAGCACGTATATTTAATATGCATTCACAATATATATATATATATATATATATATATATATATATATATATATATATATATATATATATATATATATATATATATATATATATATATATATATATATATATATATATATATATATATATATATATATATATATATATATATATATATATATATATATATATATATATATATATATATATATATATATATATATATATATATATATATATATATATATATATATATATATATATATATATATATCACAATGCATATATATATATATATTGTGAATGCATTGTGATATATGCATTGTGATATATATATATATATATATATATATATATATATATATATATATATATATATATATATATATATATATATATATATATATATATATATATATATATATATATATATATATATATATATATATATATATATATATGTTCATCATTTATCTCATATCGCTTCATTCTAGATTCACATTTATAACTCACAATTCAACAATTCATACACATCGACATCCTTCATACAACAATGATATTTATGCCATATGGCTCATATAAAACTCATCAATTAACACCAATCCCTTTTTGGGAGTATGGGTACATCACTTATACCCTACCAGGAACAACATCTCAGTTATTCTACCCCGGTAATTATTCCACCAGGAACGACATCTCAGTCATTCTACCCCGGTGTATACAACCACGACACTATACCTCACTAGGAACAACATCCTGTTATTCTACCCCAGTGATTACTCCACTAAGAACGACATCTTGCCATTCTACCCCAGTGAGTATGACTCAACACATATACACATTTCCCACACCATTCTTACATTACCAAACAATGCACATGTACTCGCCATATATATTCTCATGCATTCTTCACCCACCATCGCATACAAGCAATATACACTTACAAATATCGTGCCAAACGACAACAAACTCGATCACATTCATCACTAATTTCAATCAATTTAACAATGTATCACATATGCCAAAAGGCCACATATTCATAATCGATTCATAATCTAGGATTCACGCCATACGGCTACCCACAACACATCATATAACAGCGCACAAGCTATACGCTACATAATTATATCAAATACATCGACATTGGATAGAACCAACCAAAATAAAACAAATGCTGTCATATTCGCTGACCTTCGCCTGGCGAAGCCTCTGGCGAACCTTCGCTACTTCATTCGCTTGGCGAACTTGCCAGCGAAGACCACTGGGGGTTATTCTGGAATTACTCGCTAGCACACTCGCGTGGTGAACCTTCGCCACTCTCATTCGCCTGGCGAACTTGCCAGCGAAGACAGGGTGGATGCTTCTGACTTGGTTCGCTGCTACTCGCTGGGCTTCGCCCGGCGAAGCTTCGCTGCCATTCGCTTGGCGAACCTGCGAACTCAGAACTCCCATGGCTGTCCAAAAGCCCAAACCTCACAAACCGACTGATTTATCCAAATCAGTTCTATTAGCACGGCCCACTCATCACCCGACTATATTACACCGTCAATTTCAGATTCTACCCGTTCAAACTCGGTTTCTACCGATTAAACTCATTTCGACCTAAATTGAAAATGTAGGAAACCCCCAACAAATCCAAACACACACATACATAATCATACACATTGATTAAGATAGTAAGATTTCACACCCTTACCTCGATTAATCGGAAGCTAGAAGTCGTTCTTGAGCTTTCCAAGCTTTTCCTTCTCTTTCCTTCTACTTTCTCTTCTTCCTCCACTTTTCTTTTATGTTTTCTATTTTACATTTTCGTTCCGCTCCCCCTTCATATATCCTTCCCTTAGGTTTCTCTCCAATTTATTCCCTCTCTCAAAACATCTATCAATTCATTTAAAGAATCATCTAATCATTGAAATAATTAGAATAATCCAAATAAACCAATTAATTAACACAAATAATTAATTATTGAAAATTAGGCTGTTACAGATCAAACTAAAGGCAAGAAAGGTTACTTCATTATCAAAGTGGATCTCTTAAAAGCGTATGATATACTTAGTTGGGAATTCACATGGAAGGTGTTGGAAGAAATTAAGCTTCCTTCGAAGATGAGCAATTTTATCATGCATGGAATCACAAGTGTAGAGACCAATATTAAGTGGAATAGAACACGGTCTGAATTTTTTCGCCCAAGGAGGGGCATTTGTCAAGGAGATCTTATCTCTCCCTACATCTTTGTGCTTTGTATGGATAAATTATCTCATATCATCATGCACGAAGTTGAAGAAGGTTACTGGAAGGCTATTAAGGTTGGTAAGCATAGGCCAGTGGTGTTTCATCTTATGTTTGCAGGCCATTTATTATTGTTTGGAGAAGCGACAACTAGGCAAATGCAATGCGTTATTCAAAGTCTGAACAAATTTTGTGCAATGTCGAGTGAACAAGTGAGCCAAGATAAAACTAGATTTCTATTCTCCAAAAATGTGAATCGAAGTGTGAAGGAGCAGTTGTTAAACATATAAGGCTTTAAAGAAACAATTTCCCTTGACAAGTATTTGGGCGTGCTGATAATGAGTAAGACGCCAAAAATAGTTGATTATCAATACATTATTGATCAGGTTAGCTCTAAGTTGAGGACATAGAAAGGAAGCAACCTAGCCTTTGTAGGAAGAGTTACGCTTGCAAAGAGTGTCATAGAAGCCTTGCCTATATATCTGATGATGACAACTATGTTACCTAGGGCTTGTATTAAGGATATACATAAGCTTTCAAATGAGTTTTATTTGGGGTGATACTGACTTGTGGTTCTGGAAAAATGTTATGAGACTATGGCCAAAAATGGAAGAAAATACTGTGTGGCAGGTGGGTGATGGTATAATAGTAGGTGCATGGGATTCTAAATGGGTTGGGCTATATATTCGCATAGCTGACATGGATGTGAACATACCGCTTAACCTCCAAGAAGCTAAGGTTGTTGACTTGATCAGTGGAGAATGAGATTTGAATTAGAGCATGATGAATGGTTGGCTGTCGGATAACATTTTGTGTAGAATTGCGAGTATGACCCCTCCAACTAATGAGGCTTGTCCAAATCATTGTGTTAGGCTAGTAGTGAATGGTGATCAATTTTTTGTTGGTAATATGTATGTTGTGTTAGATACGGAAAATAGGGTGGAAGAGAAAGATGGTTGGAAGAATATTTGGAAGATTCAGACCACGGAGAGAGTAAGGAATTTTGTGTGACTTCTTAAGCACAAGGGCCTCCTTACCAATAACAAGAAGAGTAGAATGGGGTTGGGTAGTGCAATGTTCTAGTATTATGGAGATGAAGAGGAAGATCTGTTGCATGTGCTCTGGGATTGCTTGCTGACTATGCCACTTTGGCAATCAGCGGTGCACACTAACATACATTTGCTCTTTTTTGCAAGTGATTTAGATAGTTGCATATAAGTTAATATAAACTATAATATGGGATGAAATTCAAATGATGAATGGAAGTCTGTTTGAGCCACTTCATGTTATAACTTATGGAGCTGGCATAATAAAGAGAGCCATATTGAGGGTTATTTGCGACCCTCGAACATGGTGAGTTGCATATATAGACAAGTTCAGGATTACAAGCAGGCGAAACTTGCAAATATTATCACCAGAGCTCAACATAGGGAGAATGGAACTTAATTCAGATGGGGCTAGAGACACTAGAGGAATAGTTGGATGTGGAGGCATTATTAAAGAAAATGAAGAAGAGTGGATTGGGGGGGGGGGGGGGATTCTCTAAGCCTATAGGCATTTGTGAAGCTCGTCGAGTTGTGGGGTGTTTTAGAAGATCTTGTTGTTGCGTTGAGATTCTCTGAGATTGACATTTGTGTTAATTCTCAACAGGTAGTGCACAATATCAATACCAGTTACACTAGTAATATCATGGGAAGAGATCTCATCAAGAAAATAAGGTCTTTTTACCAAGCCGATAAGGATATCAAAGTGATTAACGTCTTCCGTGAAGCTAATCGTTGTGCGGATGCCCTCACAAAGAAAGGAATTCAAGATACCAAAACATCTGTTTCTTTGAGTTGTGTCAGACATTTGTAGAACAATTGTACGAGAATGCTTTATCGGAATTTTCTGTTGCTAGACTGTCTCCTATGTAGTTTCTTGTTTGTTTTAGGCTTAGACCCTCCATTGTATTAAAAAAAAAAAAAAAGGAAATGTTAGTGCCTTATTAAGAGTTAAAAAAACATGTTTTATTTAAAAATATTAAAAAATAAAATATATGTTTTTTTATAAAAGATTTGAATTTTTTAGTTGAAATCCCTAAAAAAAAATACTTTTTAGGTATTCTTTAGCAAGAGTCATATTAAAAATATAATTTTTTAAAATGGTTTTATGATTAAAGAGATAAGATTCAACGTAGATTTAGGATTGATTTCTTAACTTTGTCATGGGACTTGTTCACAATGACAAGATCACTTAGAAGTTACTCTAATTAGTACCAATTTTTAATGAGATTTATTTTCACATAATCCTCAATAATCCCGTGACAATAAATAAATAAAAATTCTTCAAAATCCAATAACAACCCACACTGCCACTTCAATAATCCACACACAAACACAAACACAGTGTTTCAAAAACCTCTGTACCATAAAAAACACACGTAGCCGACAAATATAACCATTCCATTATTCATTTCCAATTCCCATCATCATCATCATACCCTCTTTTTTTCTCTCCACTTGTTTTCTTCCGATCCAAACATCGCTTTTTCCTGTCCCCACTCTCTCCTTCCTTCCCTTTTCCCTGTCTTTCTACCTTCCTCAAATTGCGAAACAAGCCCCTGTTTCCGTTAAAGCGACCTTCTTTCCATACCCTTTTCATCCAATTTCATAATCCAATACTATGGTTTTCTGATTCAATTCGATTCTATCATTTTCAATTTCTTAGGTTGCTCAGTTTTTGGGTTCTTTTTATTATGGACAAGTACGAGGCGGTCAAGGATTTGGGTTCTGGCAATTTCGGGGTTGCCAGGCTTATGAGGAACAAAGTTACAAAGGAACTTGTCGCCATGAAATACATCGAGCGTGGTCAAAAGGTTATGTCTTTTTTTTTAATTTCCTAATTTATTATTAATTTTACTTTCCTTTCAATTTTTATTTTGATTTATCACAACCCTTTAATAATTTAGTGATTTTACTTTAGAACTCATAATTTAGTTCTTGAAGCAGAATTGATCAAATGATTCAATTTAGTTACTGACTTGTTTTTAATAAATAAATCAGAGTTTTTTTTTTTAAATATCTTATTTTTTTAATGCAATTCTGAGGTTTTCATTTCTTTTTTCTTTCAATTTCAGATTGATGAGAACGTGGCTAGAGAGATCATGAATCACAGGTCTCTTCGGCATCCGAATATAATTCGATTCAAGGAGGTATGGATTCAATTCACTACATATGGTGAATTATGAGATCATGTTTCAATAGGATTTTGATTTTGATTTTTGATTTTGGTTTCGTAGGTGATTTTGACTCCAACACATTTAGCAATAGTTATGGAGTATGCAGCTGGAGGAGAGCTCTTTGAGAGGATATGTAATGCTGGAAGGTTCAGTGAAGATGAGGTTAATTAATTGTTTTATATGTTTCTTTCTTTGAAATTTTCACTTTCTCAATTATTTAACTTCCTCGTTTTTTTTTCCGGTTCGATTGTTCAGGCCAGGTATTTCTTTCAGCAGCTGATCTCAGGTGTCCATTTCTGTCATACCATGGTAGATGCATGCTCAAGTTTGAGGTAAATTATGAACTTTCGGATGCTTGTTGTTAGAACTCATGCTTTTAATCTTCTTTTACAGCAAATATGCCACAGAGATCTGAAGCTAGAGAATACTCTTTTAGATGGAAGTCCTGCACCACGCTTAAAAATTTGTGACTTCGGTTACTCCAAGGTATTGGAATTAGTATTGTCAAGCTTAAAAGTTCTAAATAATAGTATTTTTGTTACCGTTATAGAGTTGTAGTTGTTAGAGTGTTTCTTACTTGCTATGCAGTCATCTTTGCTCCATTCACGCCCCAAATCAACGGTTGGAACACCGGCGTATATAGCACCAGAGGTTCTTTCTAGGAGGGAGTATGATGGAAAGGTAATGTATTTTCCTCGCGCATGGATTGGCTCCATTCATGTTTTGTTGCTTTGTTCTTCCGATTATGCTAGGCAGGAATGAAGTAGATTTTTAGTATTTTAGTTGTATTCCTCAATAGGTTGAGGATAGTATCGATAACTCGATGTTGTTTTTATGTTCTGAACATTGTTTTAGATGGCTGATGTATGGTCATGTGGGGTGACGCTTTATGTGATGCTGGTCGGAGCATATCCGTTTGAGGACCAGGATGACCCTAAAAATTTTAGGAAAACAATTCAGGTGTGTTTCCTTCCTTTATATACTTGTTGATTTCCGTAATGTTTCTTAAGTTCTTTTCTTATCATTCTTATCCTTGTTTCCTGTCCTATTCTACAGCGTATAATGGCCATTCAATACAGAATTCCTGATTATGTTCACATATCTCAAGATTGCAGACACCTTATCTCTCGGATATTTGTTGCAAATCCATTGAGGGTATGTTATGTTGCTTAATCATCTAGACTTTTTCGCTATTATTTGCAAAGCGGTTATACTTTCTTGCATTCCAGATCATGAATGCCATGATTCTTCCATTCTTGCATTCCAAATCATGAATGCCATGACTCTTCCATGTTGGCTGTATAAATATATAAGTATATATAATATATAATATGATTACTTGTCAACCCTCGTGAACCGTCTGGTCGATTCCTCTTCAGTGGATAGATAACTATGAAGCACTGATATAGACATGGGCAAACCAACAACAACAACCAAGCTTTATCCCACTAAGTAGGGTCCCCTACTCTAGTTGTTTGACTACCCTCTACCTGATCTACTCTTCTTACTACATAGTCCACAACTCTTCTTTCTACATGCCCAAACCACTTAGTTTGTTTTCTACTATGAGTGCTGCCCCACATGTGTCGGGGTCGCATTAGTGTCGAACATTGGTCGAGTGCTGTCAATTGCAGAAAATAACAATTGTTCAAATTCCGATACGCTGTAGCGCCGCTGTTTGACAACACTTTGTAAACATCACAGAAAATACAAGGAAAAAAATTGCACATTACAGAACAATAGTTTGTTTAAATTCCACTCAGATATAGCCGTATAAGGCCAAAGTGCCGATATAGCATCTATTCCTCAACCATGTATCGGACCTGCATTCAAATTGAAGTGTTGATGCTACATAGATAGATAGATAAAATTGGAATGTTTCCATGTATCACGTGTGTCTATGAGAACGGGAATTTGGTCTTCTTTTCTCTTCCTTATTTCCATATTAACTTTGAGCAGATATCATGTAAGTGTCAGGTCATTATGTAATTGAGGCTTATACAATTTGAATAAATTTTTTTATCAAACTATATGCATATTTAGTTGTACGTCATATACAAATCCCATGAAATCTCAAAAAAATCCAGCGATTCTACTACATTTTTTATAAATATGCAGATCTCTGTTCGAGTCTAATGTGTTTTTTGTCGGAGAAGAAGCTCTTGAAAATCCAGCGATTCCACTTGTGTTTTATGACAATCTAACTCCGTGACTATATTCTTTATTGTTTACAGAGAATTACTATTAGGGAAATCAAGAGCCACCCATGGTTTTTAAAGAATCTCCCAAGGGAGCTAACAGAATCAGCTCAAGCTATGTACTACCAGAGGGAAAATCCAAGCTTTCACCTACAAAGCGTGGACGATGTGATGAAAATCGTGGGAGAGGCAAGAAACCCGCCTCCAATATCTAGGCCCATCAGAGGTTTTGGCTGGGAAGGCGAAGAAGATGAAGAAGCAGAAGACGAAGAAGCAGAGTTGGAAGAAGAGGAAGTTGAAGAAGACGAGTACGATAAGAGGGTCAAAGAGGTTCATGCGAGTGGAGAATTCCATGTCAGTTAAGCACTCAAATCCTTGCTTCTTTGCTGAAATAATTTTTTTAGAAGACACCTTTATTTCATCTGTTGTGTAAACTAGAAGTCACCTATTTGTGTATATTATTATTATTACGACTCTAGTGATTTTGTATGTGTATCATTATGGACGCCGACTATGAGAACAATGTTAGTCTCATTACATTCTAAACCGCCATGTTTGAGAACAGTAATCTTCTGATTACATGCTAGAATCCATATCAGTTTTCTCTATATATGTGTGTGCTCGCGTGACTGTGTTTTATTTGAATCACAATGAGAAAAAGTACTTAGAAAATGAATACATTGAACGTAATCACAAGTGTCAGTGTCGTGTCAGTGTCTTGAGGATTTAACATCATTGAACATCATCACGAATACGGATGTTCAACCTTCTAAGCCAAATAGAATGAATAGTCATATGAAAAACATCGAACCTCTTTGGTGGCTCATGAGGAACAAAATGCCTTTGAACTTGTTTCACTCTCCTCTGCATTTTCAAGTACTGTCTCTCTGAAATTCCCATGAGTATCTTCTTAATATTAGGAATTTCCTTCACATCTATTTGAACCGAAAACAATTTCCAATTCAAAACATCACTAAAAGGTGGAACATAGCTATCAGAAATCAACATAGGCACACATTCTGCAAATATAGCTTCCACAATTCTCGGACTAGCCACCTCGCTAAGACACAAACAAAACTTGCTGCTTCTAAGCTTTGTGTGATAAGAATCTTTGACATCTCCGTCTTTGTTTTTCCATGTATTGAGTAGTAAGTATCTTATGTTACCATCCAAATGACCTGCAATGAAAGCAAGGATTGTCCTATGAGATGGAGGGTACCCTTGTACTACTAGATTTGTGAGATCTCCTGTCTTGAGATTCATTCAGGGAATGGTACATCTTTTTCTGGTTTGAATCCTTCTGATGTATTAGCATTGCAGAGTACCCTTATTGAATTGTTGAACAAGTTATCGACGCAAGCGGATACAACCGGACCCCAATCATGGCAAGAGAGCATGAAAAAGATCATGGCCTAGAGATTGATTCCAGAATGGATATTTATGAGATATAATCCGAATATAGTCTTTTACACAAAGACCGATCGAAGTTCGATCGTAGGTGTCTTGCACGTAAAGATATTCAATCATCATAACCACACTGAACATGTGAGACTTAGATCTTTTCCTATCACCATTGACTCTTTGAAAACATGTGAAGACAAATATCATGAATACGTCTCAATTTCTTTCTTTTTTATTAAACATGCTATTTTTAATCGTTGGCATTAACTTTTTTATTTGGATAAAAATTAGTAAGTATATGATCCACAGTTGCTCGCGGATCAAAACCGAGTGGATTGAAAAAACGTAATAAAAGCGACGGTAACTCGGATGTCGATTCACAAGGATTCTTATTTATAAAATAGTTAATTAAAGAAAAGGTTTAGTGGATTGTTTTGATTAGGATTCGATAAAAAAAAAAAGTAAACGGTAAAAATAAGCGCTTTTGAAATACTTGATTAAAAACAGGTAAATCCATCGGTTCGACTTCCAACTTATCATTGGTTTTACAATTCAATATTTCCAAACGGTTGCAATTCCTATTCGATTGCAATATTGGCGAACAAGCGTCGACAATACCACACGACTTCTATTCCTAATTACCGAACTATTCCTAATTACCGAACTATTCCTAATTACCGAATTAAGCAGACGGTTAAAAATTGCACAAATTAACAAAAAAATTAAGTTAATCCGCGATTGGGTTAAGGAATATTGATCGATCAAATTACATCCAATTTATCTTATAATAACGAATTAAGCAAACAAAATTATAAGATAATTTGGAACGAGATTAAAAGAAATAATACACAATTTAAATTGAATAAACCTCAAAGAATTACGAGTTCGAAACCGAATAAATCTCAAAGAATCACGGGTTCGAAACCGGTGGATTTTCCCTTAGGATTAGTTCGCCATAAAAACAATAAAATAAAAGGAAATTCGGAAAATAAACTGGGTGAATGTTTTTCATCACAGCAGCAACCTTAAATAGAAAATAATTGGGCCAGAAACCTAAACTAGGCCCGCAAGGAAAACTACCTTATCACAAGTCAGAAACTTCAACAAATTATTCGAGACTCAAGCAATTCAAATCAGCTCCTTTGTGCAACATGAAAATTGTATATTTTTTTCTTAACTTTCCAACGACTGGTAGAAAGTCTCGATCCGATTCTTGTATCTCCAGTTATGAATTTTTTACTAAAAACTGCTAATGTTGAAAAATAACAAACGAAAATAAAATAAAACTTAAAATAAAATAAATTATAAAAATATTATAAAATAGAAAATTAAACAAATTAAACCGTAAAAATGCCTAAGTCTAAACATTGAAGAATGTGCATCAAAATGCACTTATCCTATTCAACAAATACTTTTCAATTTTCTAGCAAGGAATTGAACAATAATATCCATCTTAATATTAGTATGTGTCAAATAATTTGCAATCTTATACATCATCTTTGTTGTTCATATTAACCAACTTCATGTTTAAACCCACTTTATTTTCCATACTTTTGTACTCATACAACTCTTTCATTTTATTCCATATTTTCTATGCATTCATTTCAGCTTCAACATATGAATATGCGTTTGTTTTAACTTCGTGAATATATACTTAAGTCCAATTATTATTTGATTATAACAATTATCTTTTGGATCATCTTTTCATTTGGCATCAAACTTATCACTCATTTACACCCCCACTTCAAAACGATCATACAAATCTATCTTTCTTATATAATATGCTTTTGAGTTTAATTTTACACTGTCAATCAATAAAAATTTATTAATATATTATATCATATAATTAATTTAAAATTTATTGTCTGATTTAACGGAATACATAAGAGTGATTGGTTGAAATATAAAATAATTTTATACTATTAATATATACCAATTAAATTTTATATTTTTCATGAGTCTTTCGGGATTTATAATTAGCAAACATAAGTTTAATCATATTGTGCTCTTAATTTTTTTACATTTAAAATGCACAAAAATAAGCCAACCAAAACTCTAAGAAATTACCAAATAAGTAGGTCTCTTTAAAGCATAATATTTTTCTCAAACTTGTACAGTTTAAACATACATCCATCAAAATCAATTTTAAAGCACAATAATAATAATAATAATAATAATAATAATAATAATAATAATAATAATAATAATAATAATAATAATAATAATAATAATAATAATAATAATAATAATAATAATAATAATAATAATAATAATAATAATAATAATAATAATAATAATAATAATAATAATAATAATAATAATAATAATAATAATAATAATAATAATAATAATAATAATAATAATAATAATAATAATAATAATAATAATAATAATAATAATAATAATAATAATAATAATAATAATAATAATAATAATAATAATAATAATAATAATAATAATAATAATAATAATAATAATAATAATAATAATAATAATAATAATAATAATAATAATAATAATAATAATAATAATAATAATAATAATAATAATAATAATAATAATAATAATAATAATAATAATAATAATAATAATAATAATAATAATAATAATAATAATAATAATAATAATAATAATAATAATAATAATAATAATAATAATAATAATAATAATAATAATAATAATAATAATAATAATAATAATAATAATAATAATAATAATAATAATAATAATAATAATAATAATAATAATAATAATAATAATAATAATAATAATAATAATAATAATAATAATAATAATAATAATAATAATAATAATAATAATAATAATAATAATAATAATAATAATAATAATAATAATAATAATAATAATAATAATAATAATAATAATAATAATAATAATAATAATAATAATAATAATAATAATAATAATAATAATAATAATAATAATAATAATAATAATAATAATAATAATAATAATAATAATAATAATAATAATAATAATAATAATAATAATAATAATAATAATAATAATAATAATAATAATAATAATAATAATAATAATAATAATAATAATAATAATAATAATAATAATAATAATAATAATAATAATAATAATAATAATAATAATAATAATAATAATAATAATAATAATAATAATAATAATAATAATAATAATAATAATAATAATAATAATAATAATAATAATAATAATAATAATAATAATAATAATAATAATAATAATAATAATAATAATAATAATAATAATAATAATAATAATAATAATAATAATAATAATAATAATAATAATAATAATAATAATAATAATAATAATAATAATAATAATAATAATAATAATAATAATAATAATAATAATAATAATAATAATAATAATAATAATAATAATAATAATAATAATAATAATAATAATAATAATAATAATAATAATAATAATAATAATAATAATAATAATAATAATAATAATAATAATAATAATAATAATAATAATAATAATAATAATAATAATAATAATAATAATAATAATAATAATAATAATAATAATAATAATAATAATAATAATAATAATAATAATAATAATAATAATAATAATAATAATAATAATAATAGTAATAGTAATAGTAATAGTAATAGTAATAGTAATAGTAATAGTAATAGTAATAGTAATAGTAATAGTAATAGTAATAGTAATAGTAATAGTAATAGTAATAGTAATAGTAATAGTAATAGTAATAGTAATAGTAATAGTAATAGTAATAGTAATAGTAATAGTAATAATAATAATAATAATAATAATAATAATAATAATAATAATAATAATAATAATAATAATAATAATAATAATAATAATAATAATAATAATAATAAAATAACACAAATACCAAATTTTTAATATGAAAAGTTTCTCTCAAATTAAGAGAATAAAAATTATAAAACCTAATCTAATAAAATCTTACACTATATAAATAATAGTACACAAAAATCTCTCTAATGACGCTAGAGAATAACAATCTTTAATAAAGATGAAAAACACACACCAAACAATAATTCCACAAATTTTAAATATACTGAAACAACTATAAGAAATGGTAAAATTACTAAAAAAATTAGATAATTATAAGTAGTTAAGCAATTGGAACAACGTAATGAATTTAATTGATATAAAAAATCACATAACTATAAGTAGTTAATTGATTGGAACAATGATCCGCTGTCACGCATGAATAGAAGACGAGTAATTTAAAAAAAATATATATATAGTTATGGTAACGACAATTCGAATATCGTATCGCAAGAATTCTTGATTTTATTAACCAACTGAAACGACTGGGGAGGTTGTTTTGGTTTAGGATTCGATTAAGAAAAACAAAGTAGATAAGTGATTATCGAAACAAGTGATTATAACAGGTTAATCTACCGGTTCGACTACCAACTTATCATTGGTCATTATAATTTCAATTCCCTAAACGGTTCCAATTCATATTCGATTGCAATATTGAAGAAACAAGCGTCGACAATACTACACGAATTATATTCTTAATCACCAAATTAAGCAAACTGTTAAAAATAGCGCGAATTAATGAAAAAGGTAAGTTAAACACGATTAAAGTAAGAAACATAAGTCAACTGAATTAAATCCAATCTATTATATAAGAAACAAATTAAGCAAACAAAAATCATAGGACAAATTAGAAAGGAACTGAATTAAATTGAAACTGATAAGAACCTCAAAGTTTTGTGGTATTCGAATTCGGCATATTGCCCCTTGAAATCAGTTCGCCATGATATTCGTACCAAGCAGAGTTTTATTGTTAATAATATGTGTAAAATACTGTAGTGTGAATGAAT